ACTGTCTCAATACTGCTAACAAATACTTTTGTCAACGTTTTGTAATATGACTCGGAATTCCAAGAAGGCTTCAACGTCGTCAGCGTTTTAGAAATATTTTGCGCAAGGTGGGAGGTAACTGCCTATATAAGGAATAAAGATTGCTTACAACAACGGCCATATGTTTCCAGCTCAGGGATTCCGAAAGGGACAGAGAAGAGCAAGCAACAAATATCTTTTACTTTTAGCCTATAAAGCCTTGAAGATGAATTCGAACAGCACCGATTTATGGTGTTCATGTAAATAAATCGATCAAGTATCTCGCGTAGCAGCGACTCGTGGTCGGCCCTATTAAGCGCACCCTTCTGATCAAAATATATAAACAAAAAGTTTCTTATAGGAATACAATGCTGAAGGAGGAATTTATCTGCATTAAGAGCGCAATTAACACTAGTAAATCTCGGGGAGCCTTGCTTCGCTCTTAGCAATTACAGAAGAAATATTGTTAAACAGTATGCTCGATGAGTTGCCATTTACAAGACAAGCCGTCTTGCATATGCGATAGAATTTAAATAGAGCACACAGATCTTCATAAATAAGTTTCTTCTTCGCCTTAGACTATACACAAAAATAATCTTTTTGTATCCTTGATTGAACTGAAAAAAAAAATCAATTTACTTTAACCAAAGGGAGCTGTAGTGGAACTGATTTTGCAAATTCAAAATGAAGATGAGTTACCTAGTTGCTAATACTCTGTTGATGCACTTACTCCTGTTTTTTTCTTACTAAACGCGATACGGCAATAGGTGCATGTATTTAAAAAATCTAATATTCTACGCTTTGCGCTGATTATAAAATGGTCAAGTTTTTACGCAAAGCTAAGAAAAAAGTTGACAGTTTCAAGTTACCCTTTAACACAACTTATTTTTTCCTTGTACTTTAAAAAACTATACACGTAAAAACTTCCTTTGTAATAAAGGAAAAAAAATATCCGGAAACATGTGTGTCGGAAAACTCACGGGGAGTCGATACACTGGACCAGAACTGGTAACAGAAATCGAGAGCGAAGAACATAATTCTAAATATTTTGCATATATATGTACCATGCAAGTGATTGGACAACGCTATGAAGATATCATGCAATTCCTTGCGTAAATGAGAAAAGGCTAATTAAAATTCATGTTTTTATTGCGGATAATAATAACTTGTTTAACTAATGATTGGCGAAAACGTTAATGGTATAATATGCGCTAATCGTTTCAAAATTCATGAAATAGTGCGTCTTGTTCAATAGACGTATCTTTTGAAGCAGTTTCTCGGTGCCATTAGTCGCGAGAGCCGAATTCAGAATCGTCTTTTAGACAGTCTCATATGTCATAAAAAATTAAGGAAACTTTTTCAAGATCAGATGTAATATAATTCTGAGTGAGAAGTAACGATTTCATATTCGCTGAATATATTCGCTGAGGGATATTATGTCCGACTAAAAACGACGTGAGTAGTGGTGTTTGCAGTAAAATGTATGATCCTCGTAGTACTAGGAGGGAGACAAATATTCGTAAAGTATACCTGTTGCAATGGCGCAGCTTCGAAATGGTTGAAAAGTGATAATCGTCAGCCGATAGCAGAAGGTACAAGAAAAGGAAATCGCAGAAGAAACTGTGATCTTCGGTCAAAAACTCATTTTGTGAACTTTAACATAAAAGTTCATAGACCAGTTTTAAAAAAGCTTTAACGGTCGTATAAGAACACAAAAGAGGCTCACAAAAGGCATCGTATGCCTAGTAAAACGTGAACTTCTTAAGTTATACCTTTACTTTTATGTGGTTAAGTGTCCTGTACGGCATAGTAATAACACACACAACCAATTTTAAACATTCCTTGCAAAAAACTGTTTAGCGAAAGCGAGCTCGCTATTAAATTAATTAGTAGGCTCTTTTTGTCTTTCTTCTCTGTTAAACACCCGTCAATAAGAGCCATGCCATAATTCAGGACACGTTCCCAAAATCCGATCTTTTGTTCCCTATCAATGGATATCCGGGTACCATCATCGTTTGTTCATCACTAGCTCGACTCAGGCATCTCTTCTCTCTTAGCTAATGAAATGAGAAATTGCTCTGCAGGGTTAGGCAAAGAAAGCGGGCTCCCTCAGGCTATGCCACATTGCTACCACGCTGTTTTCATAATGACAAAACAATGAGGATAAGCATTATCGATTCATGTTTCTTCTGTAGCAAATGACTACGTTGTATGGGCAGACAGAAACAACATGAGACGAAAAGTAGAATTGATAACGGCTGCTTGTGCAACTCGGAAGACAAATAGACAGTTGGCGACGCTCGACTAAATGCAGTCCTACATATTACTATCGTAAATGTGAGGTACCAAAGAGTTTGAAAGGAAACACGGCTCAGAGCCATTTAATATACGGAAGATAAAAAAAACAACGACAACACAATTTTATATTACATTTAAACTGAATAACTTATGAATCAGATAACGCGAATAATTTATGATTCAGATTAGTTTGATGAAATCAAAAAATTGTGGCGGAAATTTCTTAAAATATTATCTTAGTGTTGTGAAAAATGCATAAAACTAGTGTGTGAGGTATCATTAGGATTTTTTGTAGACATTCATCGCTGTCAAAGCTGTAACTCGTTGGGTGACACAACTCCAAATATGACTGACGTTCTTTTACTGGGATATTATCTTATCCTCTAAAATACCAGTAAATTAAACACGTTGTTTGCATTCTACTAGTACTGATCACTAGTCCGTAATACAATGTTTTTCACTTGACACAGGGTCTCGTAACCCTGCAGTGCTAATGAAGAGCTTTTAGCTGCAATTCCCCTATTTTGCCACTACTATTTAAACAAAATTCTTTGTGACCTTCATGGTCAAACTTATCAATTTTCTTAACTACAACTTCTTACCAATTTTCTTGACTACAACTTCTGAATTTCTAATTTTAATTGTACTTAGATATAGAATATGTTAGACGGTTACAAGCAAGTCTAACGTACTTTGAAAGGCAACTTTTGAATTACGCGTAGATAAAATTTACCTGATAGACGCTTTAGTCTTTTAAAAACCAGTTGAATTTTCTTTAGGAGAAAGGACATTAAAAAGAGAAATATCCCCTTTGTCGAAAAGCGCTCGATCAAGAAATCGATTGACAAGCTTTTTGTTTCTCCAGATGTGTAAAGGCATTAAGCAAAGACGCTGTGAGTGAAAACATAATGCATAAATGGTGCAAAGGTTTTAAAAACTAGGACTGGGTGTTGAAGACCAGCGAAGAGCTAACCATTGCAGGCAATCAGGTCTTTCACGAAAGCAGAGGTTGGGGTCTAAGGACTCTGTCCATTAAAACGTTATAGTATTCTAATTAAAAAAAATCATTTGGAACAAATAGTCAAGGCATGGTCTAGTCTCTACTGCCAGCTGGGAAGGAACAAAGTGCAAGAATTCCATCGTATTGAAGGGAAATCTATTCCGAATAGTTGCGGACGTAAAATGACTGTAATACTTGCAGTGACATCAAGGGCATCTGCTACTATAAGATATATACTAAAAATGAGTGGGGCTTTCTATGCTTTAAAACACAGTAGACAAGTTTATCTCATTATCGATTTACTTAGATAAAGAAATTACGTATAAGAACGTGAATGGTGAATATTTTCTTGTCTAAAAGCTGCCAGAGAGCTGGAAATTTTGTGTGAAATATAAAGGAAAGTACGTCTGATACATTACAAAACCATAGTTCTAGCCCAATTAGTTCAAAATTTCCGCAGGATTCGCTTGTAACATTTTAATAGGCACTCCGAAAAAATGAAGGTGAATAGTTGTCTTGACTATGCAATGCATGTATGTGAACTATATTGACAAATTGTAATGTGACTGGAACATATGTCATTATGGATGAGAGATGACCGATTAACAGAGTCAGGTAGACAAAGAGATGCTGGAGTTATCACAAGGAACCCTGACGGGAAGCCGTCAGAATTGTCAGCTGGACACACCATTCTCAGTCGATGAGTCCTCTTAGCCATTCCTTGAGTTTTAGAGAGTACAATTGGTTAACAACCAGGCAGTGCAGTATCTCACTGCTAAGGTATTATCTTCCTTTATGTGTAGAAAGAAACATTCAAACGACTAAACGATTGATTCCACAACAAACAGGTAGCGTAGCAGAGACAGGATGCCGAAGCCTGTGACTTGTTTTGAAGAGCTCTGCTACTGTAAATATTTACTATAATCAGGCAGAAGATGCGATACAACACTGCATGGACCTCATGGGCCCGTCTGATGATAGTTAACAACGACTATCACTGGAGCTCTCAGTGACTCTAGAATGATTGCTGATACAGAACAAGGACTGCAGTAGACGCAGCTCGTAGGTATATATATATATACGTATATATGTATATATATATACATATAATACTCAATTACTGAACAATAACTAGTTGAAAATACCTGAGAATAGTTCAAAAGCTACTGCATGGTCAAACACACAGACTAAAGGTTTTTTGGAGCATACGATTCTACCCCATATCACAAGCTCCTCCGCTGTTCACGTAACTAGGCACTTTAGACCGTGCCACTCTACGCCCAAGAGTGCATTTCTGCTCTCTTTATTTCTTCAACTATGTATAGCGCATTCCTGCGGTCACATTTTTGTTCTTGGTAAACAAACAAGTTGAAAAACACTATTCAATTAGCGTATTTAAATAGATAATCAGCTCTGCTGATGAACTAGCATTGCTTGGTAAAGTTTGGTACGAAAAGAATTTTATTTCAACACATTTACGCAGCAGTCTTTTAGTCTTAAGGTTACGACGCACATATAGTTATTATAGAAAAAAACTGTGGTTCTATTTAGTATCTGAGAGCTATGAAAACACTAAAAAAACAAGGAAAGTCTTGTAATTTACTTCAAAAATTAAAAAAAATTTTTTTAATAAAAATACATACCTAGTAATATTTTTTTTTAAATTAAAAAAAAAGTAAAAGTTTTTAATAAAAATACATAGATTATATATTATTGTATATATTTTAAAGGATAGGTTAAATGCAAAAACAAAATTACTGTATGATATCGTGGACGGTTGAGAATATAGTTTAAGAAGCGTATATAAAGTAATAATTTCCAAAAATATCGCTAGTTGCAACCGTCAGTTCATTTTCATATATATCATGTTCCATATGAAATCACATAAAAACTTAATAACGTTCTGTAATAGTCGATATAAGCCAGATATTGGATTACATGTTTCTTAAAAAGTTAATCTCTTATTAAATAGTTACAGTTTGAAGTTAATCGATATAAGTCATATATAGGATTACATGTTTCTTAAAAAGTTAATCTATCCTTATATAGTTACAGTTTGAAGTCAATGCCATTTCACGTGTTGTATATAGTTTGGACTAGGTTGGCGTCTTTCGCCATTGAGTAAAATATACTGTTTTTTTTCTTCAATAAATTTGCGGGCGTATCAAACTCCCTGATATATCCTTTATCGAGCACCATGATTCTGAAAATTTAGAACAAAATTATAGCGTTAGATTTAGATAGATACAAAAAATTAAAACAACTGATAATTGTTCTGTTAAAGCTTTTTAAAAGCATCACGACAATGTTAAAAATAAAGTTTTCCTTCCACGTTGTTTATTAATTATGCATCTCTGGCATTATCACAATCTAGCCTTATATATTTAAATTCTGACATTATACACGGAAAATTAAAATGCCCTTACCATTTAGTGTATATAAAGACATCACGGTATCAAATAAAGTTATGAAAATATAATGTAATGCATCTATTTTGTGTAAAAACCGCTTAAAAAGGTTACTTTGGGTTTCGAACCGTTGATGGCCGTTTAACAATATCATACGTTAGGCATATTTTCTCGTTACCTAAGACAGTTAAAATATGCTGGCTCGAAATTATGATTTGCAGTTTGATTATTATATGTTTTATGGATATCGGAAATTCGTTTGACATATTTGGATTTTTGTATTCAAGAATTTGGCTTCCGTTCTGCGCTTATATAGCATGCAGATAGCATGCCTCAGATATTCGAAAGCAAAATAAATATCTAAATTAATCTTCAAAGAAAGAGTCAATTTTACAAGAAATTTTCTTTGCGGCGCAGTTTAGCTTTGTATGTAAAGTATCGAAAAATGGCAAAAAAATAGCTTGGAAGTAATGGAACCGTCTAACTCCAGTATTCCCGCAATAGGAGATATTTTTTTATGGTTTTTGCTCTTGTCATACAGAACTCTTTGTTGAAATTAAGAAACTAAAAACAAGTTATGTTCACACAAGTTTTAAGTGGAATCACCTTAAAAGTCTATAAATTTTTTTATTGTTTGGAGCCAGGATCTTGTTTTTAAAGCTTCGACTAGCAACGAACCCTCCTACATTTTAGAAAAAAATAAGTGCGATATAATCTAATTCGGCACTATGATCGCCTTCTGCGATGTCACTAGATGACAATATACATATTCTACGTGAATTGTCTGTTTGTAAAAAGTAGGCCAAATTGGTTGCTGCCAATAAAACATTCCAGCTACTTTACCTATATTTTAACTACTGTCTCAGCTATTGACAAGTATGAATAGACAGAACGGTAATAAAGACATAGTTAAAAGCCCGGTTGCATTTGAATACGTAACAGGTACCGAATAGATGTGAATATAGCTTTATTCGAGCTTACTTGATGTTTTTATTGCACTCCAACTTTTCAAAAATAAATTTATAATTTGCATATGAATGTCTTGCTATACTTTTACACGCGGCGTGATACTTAGAGGCTTAAATAGAAAAAGTAAAATTGGTGAGTATGAATCTATTTCTTTTTTCGTATTTTTGTTTCTCAAGAACACCATTTTCTAATGAATGCTATAACTTACTAAATATCCTGATGCCGTAAGCACAGTGGTCACATATATTACACCCGAATGTATCTATAGTGTATTAAATAAAACCTGAAAATACGTGGAAATTTCAAAATGTCCTAGTACGTATAATATGTATCTAAGATGTTTCGTACAAAATTAGCTAGTTTTACAATTTGATTTACCTGTCATAATCCATGATTGTATTGAGGCGATGAGCAATAGTTAAAATCGTGCATTCCCGAAACTCCATTCGAATGGTCTTCTGCATGAGTTCATCGGTTTCGAAATCTACCGCGGCCGTGGCTTCATCTAAAACAAGTATGCGACTTTTCCGAAGGAGCGAGCGGGCGAGACACATAAGTTGGCGTTGGCCCACGGAAAGATTTTCGCCACCTTCTGCTACCTCGTGGTCCAAACCTTTTTCTAAAGAACTCACAAACGCCTTAAGGGAGGAGTGTTCCAGGGCTTTCCATATATCCGCGTCGGAATACTACGTTAGCAGAACACAAACCAAAACTTTGATTTTTCACTTTTTGAATATTTAGATTTAGATATTTAGTATATCTACTGAATACTTATATTTATTTACTAATATCTACTAAATAATATTTAGTTTGAATGTTTAGAATATAGAAAATGAAACCACAAATCTTCTTAAAAATGCTTGAAAGGTGGTTTACGTGAAAGTACAACGAAACAGAAACTTCTTTATCATACAACATTGACACCACAAACTTTAAATTGTAAATTTTTAATCTTTAATATAATTAATAAGTCCTTAGAATTTAAATCCATAGCAATAGCCGAAAAGTATAAATAGATACGGAACGTCATTACATCAGTTGTTGATTTTTTAAATGTTAATTAAACATCTAGTATTTACTAATAAAATCAAAATATAAGTTCGACATTTGAGCTATAGCAAAATCCGAAACGCTGATTAAGTGAAACCACATTTTCTTCGTTATTATATAGCAATCGCCTGGAAAGTTATTTGTTGACGATTCGGCAAAAGTGCCGGTGATCCGTAGAGGTGCCACAATATTCTCCCCTAGATGACTTTTTTATTCACACTTTTAGGCAGTAAACTAACGCTTGTGAAAAAAGTTTGCTCAACTACAGCTTCGATCATCTTGTTTTCTTATTAAGGTAGAGTAAATGACGAAATAGGCTCTCTATAGTTGAAATATCGATATTACATTCGCTTCCATCAAGCGGTTTACTAGTAATGAGCTGTCATAGTTACATGATAATCTAAATTATTCTTAACATCTCCCCTAGTGAAACCAACATAGCGTCCCCTCACGCTTCTCCTGGTTACTTAAGTGATATAACTTGCACTGAATCGAAACCTTTAAAGTTAGCGGAAAAGGCAATTGTCGCGTAATCGTTCTACACTAATTCTCGATTTGAACAGTTACACAGTACAAAACTTTTTTTATACTTTATTTTCTGCAATAGTTTGACTACCAAATAATCACTAATTTGTCATACTTTGACGCAGGGTAGTATACAGCGAAGACGAAAAAAAAAGGCTTCCATTGATTAAAGATGCAAATTCTCAATCAGAACGAAGTGTTGACAATTTCGCCGACTAAGAAAAAAAACACACACACGCATAGCAGAGCCAGGTTCCCCTACTTTTTAGCAAAAAACAGTAAAAATATTTTATGGCAGAAATCAAGGTATTCTCCATATAACTTGGTTAGCTAACCCTCATTAGCAGGTTAATGTATTTTCTCAATGCATGTCCGTATGTTATCAGGGCCCACCCCGTATATCATCTGAGCAAACAAAATTTTCAAATTTGAATGAGAATAACTACGGAGTGCACTTAGAGGTTACCGCATACGACCGTGACTTAAGTTTCATGAAAAATCTGAGGCATGCAGGTATGGATATTAAATCTATTATCACGAAATTGTCAGTTCAGAAAGTAACCTCAATTTTTACTTTTATTTTAAATTAATTTAAATTTTATTTTTAAAACTATAGGATATCTGCTAAATAAATAATAATTTTAAACAGAAGGTATTTCTATTGAGCAAAAAAGCAATTGAATGAACTGTGAAGGAGGAGAAACACGTAATATTCGCGTACTTTTAAAAGAAGAAATAGAAGCGTTAAGCGTTAAAACGCCTGAAGTTTAGCTTTTGATAACGAAATAAATTGGGTATGGATTGTCTAAAAAAATGCCAGTAGGTTCTTTAATACGGCAGATCACTGGCCCGCATTTAGAGCTAACTTTTTTTTGTTAAAAATTTTGGTTTCTTCTTTATCTAGGATTCCGTATCTACCCTAGCTTTAGAAAAAAATTCTGTCCTTTCACAAGCTTCGAACTCTTCTTCTTAAACTCTTAGCGCTCTAGAAGAATTCTTACAACAATCAGTAATAGAGTTTAACATGATATCGAAATTTAGTTTTTATAAGTTGTTTGAAAAGGAGCATGAAAGCGATATTTGAATAATTTTAATTTAAAAAGCAGGACCTAATATAAGTGAACACAATTTTTTTTAATGTATAACCGTTTTAACACTGCTTTTGTAAAAAAAGGAGTAATACGTAAGAAATTAAGTTTTTCTCCATATAATTTCATTAACTAATCCTTTCGAATGGGTCAAGATTCATGCGTATTAAGCCAGAGAAAAGTACGAAATTCTGAGGTATGATAGTCAGGTTTTCTCGCAAGTCGTGGAGTCCAATCTGAATGATATCCAAATCATCAATAAGGATAGGGCCCTTCGCTGGCTCAATAAGACGGAACAAAGCTAAATTAGTACGTAAAAAATTAAGTTTTTTTTCCATATAATTTCATTAACTAACCCTTTCGAATGGGTCAAGATTCATGCGCATAGAGCCAGAGAAGAGCACGGGATCCTGAGGTATGATGGTCAGCTTTTCTCGCAAGTCGTGAAGTCCCATCTGAGTGATATCCAAATCATCAATAAGGATACGGCCCTTTGCTGGTTCAATAAGACGGAACAAAGCTAAGGTAAGCGTGGATTTTCCTGCTCCGGTGCGTCCCACGATGCCCACCTAGACATAAGAAATATGCAGATTTTTTATGCCAAATTTATAATAATTAGCTGCTTGAAATTTATGAACCGTACTCATAATCTAACTCGGATAAGTTTCCACTACAGCTAAATCTGCTTTTATGTTTCGAAAAATAAACTGTGTTGTATACTTAAATCCTTAAGAAACACAAAAACACTTTCTTTATTTTACTTTCTTTATTTCTATACAACTAATCATTCGAGCGATACTGCCTACTACTGTGAGCGATACAACTAATTGAGTAGGCACTGTACACACATTTTTGGTGATACAATCGGTTATCTCATATTTATTTAACCCACAATAATGTTCTTATTTAATGCTCTGTTTTATTATTTAGTCAGTCTATTTCCTCATATTAGCCTGCCGCCCGCTAAATGCCACAAATCATTTGTCTAAAGAAGCCTTTGTTCTTAAAGCCTTGAAGACAGAATATCTACAGAAATGCGCTTGCTTGTCATATGGAGCATCTGCTTTTGGAATCTAAACGCGAGGTAAACTTTTGTTTGCAGTACAATGCACCTGCAGCAAATTTACATAAATGAACAACTGCTTTTGAATGCTATTTAGGATTTAAGTAACGGCAGATAAATTTAAGCGAAAAAAGCAATAAACACACAAACTTTATAGGCGACCTAACGTGTATATGACAAAACTACATTAATTAGAACCGAAAACTTATCTAGTATAGACAAGTCTATACAGTTTTTATTATAATAACCTTTTCACCGGGTTCAATAACGGCAGTTATATCCTTGATAACGAGTTCGAGGCCATTACGATATCTTGTCGCGTACTTTTGGAAATCGATTTTCCCTCGGGAAGGCCAGTCGAAGGGAGGTTTCTTACCTTCGATGCGCCATTCCGCCTATTTTTAAATAAACAGGGTTAGTCAAGAAGACCTGGATAAAGCTGAGTCACTCTAAGATACGCGTTCGCGATAATGATCGTCTTTCGCCAGCCTTTTTATCATGAAATCGGAACATGTACTGCCCGTTTAGTAAATAAATTTTTATGTAATTTGAAAGATTGGCTAAGGGTGAGCAGTTACGCCGCGCTGATGTTTCATTGCGCGTCGCGCGTTCCTATATACCTTCAATCACTATATAAAGCATGGCATCAATATATTCTTATGATCTTGCTTAGTGTAGGCACTGTGCAATCATTATGCTTAAATTTACATTTGTCCTAAAAGGTTCGTCTATAGAATAACGATCAAGTGTTAGATGACGTCCAGAGAAATAAATGTAATAATCCCGTCATTCGTTTTCTTGTGTACATATAATTAATTCAGAAGACTTTCAGAAGGACTGTACGGCAAACAACGTTCACAAACATTGCCATTAATATTACTAAACAGCGAAGTCGCTAAGAAAAACTATGCCCTTATTTTACTTATCGTACTTTATCTATTATCTTCGCAGAACCTCTATACTGTTCGATTTTCAATTTCGGGCGCAATCGCCTTAACTTGACGGAAATGCGGAACAAGCTAATTTTTGCACCCCACGTGATCAAGTAAAAAAAGAAACACGTATCGTGCTTTAATTCGGTTTCAATGAGAAAAACAAAAAACTACCTTCCTATGAATGTTATCATATTAGTAGGTCATTATTACAACGCCTTGATGGTTAGCAAAAAGTGATTTATTCTTTAGCATTCACAACGTCAGGAGCATAAGTACGCAGAGTAGTACTATACCTTTATTATATTTGTATTGTTTTTTGTGTAATTGTGTTAAGCCTACAAGCCTCCTTTTTAGCTTTCCTCGTGCTCCAATTAAACATATTTATTACCCAAAAATCCGTAACAGGCCCCGAACGTTAAAATTACGACGTGCCCCAAGCATGCACGCCAAAAAAGAGCCGCGTCGGGTTATTATTGCTTAAACAGCACACCACAGGTGTCAATCTTATAATGCTATTAGTTAATTCAGTTGCGTTTTTGACGAACTGAAAACCTAGACAGTACGAATATGAAAATATTAAATGAAAAACTTGCAGTGATATTCTTACTTCGTTATCGCTGTGCGTGTATTCAACAATTCTCTCCACTGAAACAATGCTAGTTTCAACTTCGGAGCTCATCCTGACCATCCAATTAAGGGTAGCTGTGACTGAAAGAGCGTAGCTCAGCATCAAACCAACTTTACCTCCATCCATATAAGACCGGTAGTACACCGTAAATAAGGCTGCAGTCAAAACGATCAAATTTCCGCAAAATTCGAGACGGATCGCCAGCCACCTAGATATATATGAGAATATGGAGAAACAAGATACAATGCTATACTACATACAATGCATATATGGGCGTTGATATAGTGTCCTATATAGGTACCAACACAACCTTTACTGAATAGACCTAGCTCAAACTAGCTAGGGTTCAGGCTAGTTTCAGGCATGCTAAAGCCTCCTTCTTTTCAAAGGAGCATCCTCTGACACTTTGTGTTTGGATAAAGAGGTTTTAACTTTAATAATAACTTAATATATTAAGGGTGATCCAATGTAGCATTTGATTTCCAATGCATATTTAATGGTTTTAGTAATATGGCACATCTATTCAAACAGTTAAGACACATTATACTATTTTATATAGAACTGCAACGGATAATCCAAGCTATTTCGCAAAGAAGATTTTAATAGTTATCTACCACAAAAAAACATATTGATTTAATGGCTAATAATTCCCCACGTTCACTTATCACGGAAAATAATACGAGAAATGAAACAAGTGTACTATTCAGATTACATTTTCGCTATATTATAGATTATAATTTGGCTTAAACTTCACAAAAAGTTTTCCTTCTTCTATAGCTGGGGTCAGCTAGCTATGAGACTGTTAAGTTCTGAGCTATAGTCGCAAAAATGTATTCGAACAAAAATGGAAAACGACCAGGAAAACAAATATTTCAAACATAAAATACTGCTGTATTCTTTATAAAGGACGAAGACGACACAGACTGGGGATAAAATACGCCACCTCTATGAGCCGAACGGAATGCTTAAAAGTGGTCGGCTCATTTCGAGAAATAATTGTTTGATGTCACCGGCCGGTCGTAGCACGAGCGACCCAAAAAGATGTGTAGTCGTTAAAACTATAACCGGGCTTAGAACAGAAATCCGCATCCGACGGTAGAAGAGATTCAATAGTCTCCTGGTATATTTACTGAATCTTTTTGCATCTACGAGAATGTCAAAAAAACGATGCCAAATTTTGAGATATGAATTGAACGGTCGTAACTTGTATTTATAACTCTTTTTGTTCACACACACACATACATACAACTTGTGTAACGTAAGATCAACTCATAGAAAACAACTTGCACTTCGCACATAGTGGCCATTGATGCAAGAAAATTTTTAATCATGAGTAAAATCAACGAGCAAATCGATAATCGATTTCACGAAGCGGACAAAACCTGTAGTACTAAAAACTAATATATTACCTGTTGGAAATAGTAGACGGGTAGTAGCATTGATTATTAATATCGACCCTATTGTTTGATTCGTGCACGAATACGTTTTCTTTCTGGTACGCTCGAATGGTGTTGATTCCTGCCAGGGTCTCCGAAAAGTGTGAAAAAATAGGTGAACGTGTTATTGACTCTAAACGTTTCAGTTGACGAGAGCTCTCGATATAGATCACTTGAATGCCATAATATAGTGCGCCAACTGGGACTATCACGGCTAAGAAGATCGGGGCGTTGAAGCTGATAATTGCCAACGTGACGACCACCTACGGGTAATAAGTACATTTTACTAGTATTGAGCTTTACGGTAGTACTGTTAAAAAATAGTTAGAGTGGTCAACCTACTACAAACATTTATCATGTGTATTTAAAGCGGATCAAAAAGTTGAAAGGAAAAAATCGTAAACAATAAATCAAACTTGTAATCTTAGGACAAACTCTATTGGGTATCTTTAATAATAAACCACAATTTTGCTCACATATCGTAATGCTATTTCTTTATATGCTCAAAGAAATTTGTTCGAAAACATCTTTTTGTGTTATTTGTAGTGCAACTGTTCGTGTCGTCGGTATTATTCATAGGGCGAATTATTAAATCACATTATCTCAAGTTACTGAATTTCTATGCTTGAAAAGAGTTATACTAAATCTTATCTAAACCAACGTTTGGTTTGCCCACCTGTAAAAAGCACATAATCCACGAACGAATGGTTTGCGGTATGGCAAGATCGACAGTATCTATATCTTTGGAGAACCTATTAACGAGACGGCCGATTGGCATTGTATCAAAGAAGCTCATCGGACTTCGCAGCACGTTATATAGTAAAGCCGAGTGAAGCTTTTCTGCGCCGTTTAGAGAGCCGAGGGCAAGCGCCAGTGAGGCTACGAGGATCGTTAGTCCTTGGCCTAAGCCCAGAAGGCCATATACAATCAAACGCTGATTACGCTTGTGTATGTCCTGAGTGCCATCTAATTGATGAAAAGCATGGAAATCAATAAAATAGGTAATTATACCATATGCAGGATATGTAATAATGTTTATAGCAATCAACAAAATGCAATAATTAATGTAACATAACATCTGCTTTTAAAATTTTGATTTAAATACTTTTCAAAATAAAAATACAGTTACTTTTCAGTACATTAGATAATGTACAGAAGAATTCAGATTGTCATCTATATTCACAAAATTTACAAGCCTGTTGCAACGTAACCTAATATTGATGCTTCGCTTATACAATACTACGTTTAACAGAATAGAGTATCAACGTTCGCTTACAGAATACCTTGAGAAAGTTAGAGAGGAGACGTACAATCCGAAAGGAGGCTGTAGGTATTTTATCTTCGGAGTATAAAACTCCGAGGGACAGGTCATGTGGCCGTAAAAGGAAAGGCACGTAAATGTTTGACAAATCTTCACTGGAAAGGAGACTCAGGAACGTCTGTCATACAAGAGGGTTTAACAAAACGTAGATTAACCCCTTGATCCAAGTTATTTGTTTTAAATGGCTTGAAATAAACTTAGTAGATGGAATTACTCTTTTTATTCAGAATTTCCGCAACGGTGATGGGACAGCCTCCACTCTTACGAATCAGGTAAATACCCATGTATTATGGAAAAATCTTTGCGGGAAAGTCATCCATAACAATTTCAATCAATCCGCAATGTAAATCTCGGGCTCGGCAAATTTATAAGGGGTACTTCCCTTTTGTGGCTTAAATGGAAATTAAAATTCTATATTTTTTAACATGCACGAGTAAGCTACAGGTGAAAAACCATGACAAAAGACTGTAAGATCTCTTATAAGTTTATACGAGTTAACGAGTCTGTAAATTATAGAGAGTTCATGCTACCAATTATTTAGCTCATTTTAATAAGCGTAAGTGTCAAAACAGATGTTACTTGCAATCAGGCCTTTACAAGTGATTTAAGACAAATGTAAAAAATAACATAAAGGATAATGATGTGGGAACAGCGCTTCTTTCTATTCTTTTTTCTTGTCATTTTACTGTTTCGATTCTAACGGTTTGACTGTGATTTTTAGCTCTGATTTTAGGTACTTGTAATTCACTTTAATATTCTCATGCATTTTAATATTCTCAAGTCGAAACCTGTACAACTCATTCCGCTGAGATATATCCGAGCTCCACAGGCTTGTCATATTACTAATCTCTGAGTAAACAGGTTGCATATTTTAGTAAATATAGAAGCACACGCATATTAAAAAGGAATCCCTATTTTGCTAACAGCACTAATTGAGTAGGTTTACAACGTAAGTCTCTTCTAGCTGAACCAAGTTGCCTAATAATGACAATCACTCAATTTTAACTTATTACTAAATTTGGAGGGTTTGTAGTAGTACCTGCAAGCAGTCGATCGTTGGACCACTCTGATAGCCAAATATTGGAAAACAGCGCGAAAAGATTTGAAAGGATATTAAACAGGACGATCGTGAATACCCATATGTAACCCATTGCCGCAAAATACGACAAATAGACACTCCATTGAACTTTGCCCGTTTCCATCATTTCCGCTTGGATTAACTTCTGCTGTACTTCAGACGATTGCTCTCCTGCCTAAAAGCAACAAATAACTATATTAAACATTTATAATGGATAATAGAATATTGCTATGCGGAAAATCTAGTAATTCTTATTTTAGAATTGCCGTTATTATAACGCAAAAAAATAGTAGTATTTTCTTTATGGTATAGTATACAGAGTCTCACATTAAAAAAAAATTCGTAAATATGTGATATATACTAGTTGGAAATACTGTATACTGATGCTGAACGACACAGTATTCTGTTTGATGTTGCCAAGAAGGTCACTGAGTTGGTAATCTAGGTTGTCGTAAGCTTTGAAACCTGCCACCCACAATCCATCTTTCTTTAAAACTGGGTTTAAAAATAATTTTAATATTGTAAATTGTGTTTAGAATGTTATCACTTGTTCACACATCACATTATCACTTGTATTCGATACATTTACCTACATTTTTAATCATACTGTTTTCGACATCTCATCGTTTGAATGGCGCACTTTTTATGATGGGAAAGGGTAAACCCATTTGCCAGAAAGGATGTGCGGCCTAAGCGGGTGAAACTTACCTAGCGTATGCATGTAACACCACACTGGCAGACTTTCAGTGAAGTGTAACATACGCTAAGAGTCAAGTAGCTTGAACTAAAAAACTAGCACAAATTCCTGATTGACACACCTTGACATTAGAACTTTGGGAAATTGAAACTCTCCTTGAAAAGTGACCAGATGATTCAAAAGACAATCGGGAATTTGAAGTTGACTTGTCTTGCGAAACGCAACGCGATGGCTTCCGGAGCCCAGTCACACAATCCGGATTTTCCTCACTAATTTCGTCTTCCGTGAGAGGAGCGCCCTGCACCTCGTTGATTGTATCTTCCATAAGGTTCACCTGAAGGAAATACGACATACAAATTATTTACTGACCGGAATTTAACGCTATTTTTTTACTGAAGTAGCTTCCATGCTAGTAACTTAAATACTTTGATAGCTTATTTCTACTCATAAATATTCATTGAAGCTAATTGTAATTATGCTTGCCTCGGTTTCGTCGACCGAGTCCTCTTTCCCAGCTCCTGCTTGAATAAACTGCATTAGTACGTCTGCAAACACGCCTTTTTTGGCCAAAAGTTCTCTGTACGTACCCTCCTCTTGAATGCGGCCATCACCCAAAACCACAATATGGTCTACATGAGGCAGAAATGATATACCATGGGTAACTAGTACCCGTGTGCGTCCTGCCAGGTATCCTGAGTTTCCTATTACCTGAATGAACATCATTCATCGTGAATATACAATCTACAACATGGAAATATGCCTTTAGTTAGAAAAAATAAATTGCAACGTATATTGAAAATGCAACAATATTGCAAAAGAAAACGCAACATTACCCTGTCAACATGAGAATGATTACGTAGGTTTTTAAGACAAGTAACCTTATCGAATATGTGCTTTCCAACGTGAGAATCGACGGCACTGAGAGGATCGTCGAAGAGGAAAACATCTGCGTCGGAATAACACGCTCGCGCCAATGAAATTCGTTGTTTTTGCCCTCCGGAGAGATTAATTCCCTTCTCGCCTATTTCAGTTTCATCACCACCAGGCAAAATTTGAAGATCAGTTCGCAAGGCACAGGCATCAATGACAGCATCATACCTCTTTGCTTCAAAGGGCCGATTGAATAAGACATTTTCTCGTACAGTTGTATTCTGGATCCATGTCTGCTGAGCAACATAAGCCAACTTGCCTACGATGAAACAGAAAACCCAGCAAATTCCTGTGGAGCTGAGTAATAAATCTATTTTATCAACTACAAGCTGTTTAACTTATCTGGTAACTGCATAGGACCTCATATTATCTACTAGACTGAGGATTAACCAAATCATCAGTTAATAAATAAATAAAATTGTTTCTTTAATAAAAAAAAATATTTTCACAAAACTGGCGTGAAGTCTACATTGTTATACCTACGTTTTGAAAAAGTAAGTTTATGTGGAGGTCAATTCGACTGAAGTTCACACGCTTTCAATCACAACTTTATATATATAGATATATAGAGAAAAAGGGAGACAGTTTTGATGCATGCCGAAGAACTTGAAAGTATCATTTCTGTTACAATTACTCACCATGGACCTCAACTTCTCCCCCAATTTTTTCCATATCTCCAAGAATCGCACTTAATAATGAACTCTTTCCGCAGCCCACCTGTCCGACAATGGCCACTAGCTTCCCTCTTCCTACTCGCAATGTAATATCATGTAATGTTGGCTGCTCGCATTCAGCATTGCTCCACGCAAAGGTTCCCTTCTCTACAGAGATAGAAACTGGAGAAGTACGAGACGAAGAGCGAGCAACATACAAATCCAACTCTTCTAAGTTAAGAAAATTGTTAATGCGTTTAACGCTTACCGCTGCTTGAATCAGCATGGAAATTAAGAGAGGCAACATACCTGGAATAAGCAAAGTCATGGATACATTGTACTTTCAGCTTTTGTTATTAATAGATGAACTAACTCTTTAATCTTAGCCAAGCCCACATCCTCTATAGAGTAGAAACGTTATTCAGCCATAAATAACCTAAAGAAAGCCGAACAATTTACAACCTTTGTGGACTATTCATTATGGATGCCTCAGTCAGCATATACAAACGTGCGTATCTAAATAAGAGCAAATATTTAACTGTCGGAAGGTTTCACAGTACTTACGCATTGTGTTTAGAAATCATAATTTGTTCTTACCTTCATATACAGTGATCATAATAGAACAAATATCAAATTTGAAAAATATAACTGCATTTAATAACTCATGGCCGCAAACCATAATCCCATTTTTATGGCTACAAGAACATACTTAAGCTTAAAGCAAAGGAAGAATTACTCACTTAAAGGAAATCGAAGAATGTGGAATAACGTAAGCGAGACGAAGGCTTTCTTCGGGTCCAGAACGTTCTTCTTATCCAGAAGTACGTACGTTAGAAAAGACGCTAGAGATACAAGAAAAGGCGCACATGTCCACAAGAAGCCGAGACCCGCATTTAGATAAGCCATTTCTTTGAGTTTCGCAATTTCCTTGCAGCGAATTGATTTTACTAGATCTTGAAAGCTAAGTTCCCAAGCGTATAGTTTTAAAACTTTAATGCCCGAGAATATTTCGTTCATTAACCTTATTCGGTCATCCTTAAACTTCATTTGATCCGTCTGCAAAAGAATTGTGGTCGGTGAGAATCCATCGAGCGAAGCCACGCACCAACAAAATACAAATTTAAATGGTAACTTTTTAACACAGCTAGAAATTACACAGCCCTGTTTTAAGCAAACAAGCTTGACATTTTTTATACAACGAACCTTAAGGAAATATCGAAGACAGTGTACAATGTAGTTAAGCGAAAATAATGATTAAGAATTTACCCATCTTTTACTACACAGGCCCCACCAGCTAAATTGAGCTAATTTTTACAGTAAGATTCTTATGATAAATAAGCCAGCAACTAAAATTAAAAAAAAAAAGCTTTTTCAATTGCGAATAAAATATCAAATTATTGTGACCAGGCCAGGGAAGTCCAAAATGGTTTCAAGTTGCACAGGTGTCGGCAATAAACACGTTTTTAGCTACTTCATACTAAAGGGCTACGATACGACGACACTAAGTTTTGTACTATTTACTGTTATACAGTGATTAATATTTAACATTAGAATTATCTACAATCGCCTTATCAAATATTATTTAAAACATTATATCGGTACTATATCTTTCAGAGGAATCTGCATATTCTTCGAATATACGTGCATTGTATGTACTGCTCGTGCGTTTCAGACCCCCCACTTTTCACCTACAAGCGTCAAGGAAAAATAACAGCGGGCCTCAATTAGCTTTAAAAAAGCGTAAGGTAGGTAATATTTTTTTAGTCTGTCTATGCCGCTTATTCTACAGACTTCAGCGGTAAGATAAAGCATTTCGAAAACGGGTCTAACATGTTTTGTATGTAGACCTAGCTTGACGAAAAAAAAATATAATGTAAACAATTTTTGGGAAATTAGTGAATGCTTATCCAGAGATATTATCATTATTATTTCTGACAGCTGCATAGGGATTGCCTTTAGGTGACATTACACTGCTAAACTTAATGAACAGAAGAAATGTAATTGTACTAGGCAACCGGTTCCAGCATTGCATGTATACATGCCGGAGCCGGTTCCTAATTTACTTCATCAGTAAATCGTCAGCCAATAGTACTGGATATGGACATGTTTTTAGCAATAGAATATTTTTGAGTCAATATGACGATTACCTGAAGTTTCTTTTGCATGCTGGCTAGCCAGCCGTTGATTGGGATCATAAGAACCATAACGGCTAACCCAGACAGCACTGCAAGCCCAAGAATTTGCCAGAGGAAATACACCGCCAGTGCTATCTGCAATGGCGCCGACCAGATCATGTTTACAAACACCATCAATTCCATAAACTTCTGCGCATCGTTTGACATCAGGTTGATTACCTCCCCTGTTGTCGTTGTTTTTCTCGCGCTGTTAGACAAAACCAAAGATTTCCTACGGCCAGAACACAAAAAAAAGAATATTACAGTCAAATATACTACCTATCATCACAGGTAATACATGTCTATATATACATATTCCCATCATGCTTTCACCCGAAGAATCTATCAGTTCCGGTTTACGAATTAGATACTAGGATATCGATGCTTTCTTTACGCATCTTCATTTAAAGAAACAAAGTCCATTTACTTATCTATGAACACATTGCTAAGTATAGCCCCGATAAATGCAGAATAAGTCTGTTTACGCACAAAATCTTTTCGTAAGAAGAATATTACTTAGTCATAAATAAAAACGAGTTTAAAAGCAACTCAGTTAATGAGTGCAGTCAGTTTTACCGTAAACAATGGTTTAGAGTTAAATCAACAAATTTAAGAAAGGACAAATGCGTACTACAACGATATCCGAAACCACAAAAAGTTCATTATCGCAGAAAATGTGCCAAAGGCTCCTGGAATAGTTTTCACCTGTCAAAAATATAATATATTTATATATTAATAATCACTAAATCAAGCACTTTTACTATTTCAAAACTATTTCTACGAGAAAGCTAAGTCTCTTGTCTTTTGCGTTTGTTTTGGGGTAAACGCCAGCGTATTTCAAATCTTGACAGCAATCTGCAAGATGATAAGGAAAACCGCGACCAAACTGAGAATAGAAATCTCAACGTAGACACACAAGCATTTACATGTTTAAAAACTTTTAGTCGCATGTAATAGAATAATTTACATATAACGGGTACATTAACGTAAAGAACGATATCTTGTGCAATACGCAAATGTAAAATACAGTAGAAGTTACTTCCTCAATCCGAGATATGAGCAAATTACACCGTTTTAGTACCCATGTATTTTATACATCCAGTGCTAGTGTGGTTAAATATTAATACGGATGGTTTGGAGTACGAACAAAAATGTGTTCACACCGGGTTTTGGACCTACATCGCTTTATGTATCCTTAAGTTTAATTGACAACGTTACCACTCTATTATCACAAAGACACAGTGCTTCTTAGCCACTTTATTGTAACTTTCAAACAAATAAACATATATTAGTCTAATTAATATAATTTTTATGGCAACTAAATATATTCCGCGAAACAAAAGCATCGTCCTTGGAATCAATCTAGTTGGACCTCGGTTTCTGTTCTACCTTTGCCTTCTTGGCTATGCTGCATTGGCCAGAACTGTTTGGTTGATTAAGTGATAATTAAAGGGAGCGATATCCATACTGTACGCCGGATAGCCAAAGTTTCCCACTGTAGGTTCATCAGGACTTACCGGGTCACCAAAGTACTATGCGGTGCAGGACTGTTATGCAGCAATACCACTTTGGTGGTTTTTGCCAGTCAAAGGCCTTTTTTTCTATTCTTTTATACTTTTTGTATGCAATTTGAATTACCTGTAAACGGCAGAGATCAATGCGGTTCTCATCCTCATGCCGACGACATACACTCGGTGGAAGTAGACAGACAAGGCTATGCTTTGTAAGCTGGCCGTAATAAACATCAGCGAAGCAAATAATACGCCTTTCCATAGCTCTATACTAGGGTCTTCAATAAAACCGATCATCAAGATTAACAGCTGAGGCTGTACGAATTGAAAAATGTCATGTATAAGCTTCATGCCGGCACCCAGAACAAGCATCGGCCAGTAAGTTCGTACAAGAGCATTAACAACATTGGGCATTCGTGAATTGTCTGCATTGTTATAGGCTGCCCTAGATTTTGCCGAATTAAAAGTGATTTCGCCATCCTGATTTGAAGAAAAAGGTCCATTCGAACCGCTGTCAATCGAGCCCGACGAACGAGGAAATGTTGCCGTAATTGTCGACTCCCTGCATATAAATTTATAAATCGGCAATGCACATAATGTTTTTATTATTATTATTGATAGTATATCCCTGGTTACAGGTAACAACAGAAGTAAAAATCTAATTACCAGCTAAATATTACATAGACCTCCATTTAGTTCAGTCTTGTATCCGAAGTATTGTGAGCAGTACTATCACGTAATATGGTAATAACAGCTGACTTAATTTCAGACACCTGCAGGTAAAACGATAATATGAATTCTGGTATAATTACTGCAATCAATACCTCTATTCTATAAACAGATACTGGCATTGTATTGATAGGTGGAAAAACATGTTTTAATGTAACGGTAAACACGCTTTTAATACTTACGTTTCAAAATTTTTACTGCGAAGTTCTTTCTGCCAGTTCTTGTCAAATTCCCGTGCGACATTAACTGATCGGTCTTGTTGATTAAGTACCCAAAGATGCGCAACTTCGAGTGGCTGCTTGAAGCCTTTGAGAACAAGTGACGTGAACCAGGAGAACAGCATCCGGGATGGAAAGGATGCTCCTTTTTCCGGACTTTCACGCTACAAAAAATTTAGACATGAAACTCGCTATGTAATGACCTAAGGTACATATTTGAATGCATACACTAAATGAGTACTGAAAAATAGTAATCGTGCTATGTAATTGACAAGCAACTAACTCTGAAGCAAAAGCGTACACTTAATGGTTTTAACTATAGCCTTTAACAGGATGATATCAAAAACACTGCTCGTCTAATTTCCAATTCGTAATGGACAATAAGATGCGTCCTTAATTTTTTTTTATATGAATTAACATGTACAGATATTATACAATAATAACAACAGACAGAACAACAATTTGTCGTGTCGTTTTCGATTCTAGGATATGATCTCATTAATACTTTATAGCTTTAACGAACAAACTTAGCACCAGTAAGTGACTATCGACTAAATATAGCTAACAAAGCTTTTCTTCTATTCAATGGATACTGACGCTTAAGCTAAAAAGCAACATTTCTTTTCAAAATACCGTAGCGTATTAAAAGTTAGCGCTCTCGAAATTCTAACAATAATAGCTACTTGTTTCCTCGATAAAAATCATGTTAACTGGAATTTAATTTGGCGTGATAATTATCAATATAAAACTTACTGAGATCCACAACAGGACAAAGAATTTGCCCTAGGCATATAATATATATTGAACGAGCAGTTATATTTTTACGACTTCAATTTTTACTGCCCATAATATTAACTAATCTATAGTCCTCTGTAAATGCATGTTTTTACAATATACTGTATTATTTCTACGTGTTGCGTATCTACTATAATAAAAGCTAATAAATAAACTATTATATTGTGTAGTTGGCGAATAGCGAGTACGTAATTCTAAGCCAGCCGAATTAGGGTAGAATATTGGTATTTACCTCAATCTTAAGTATGACTTTGCGTTTGAGAATGGGAGGAGCATCAGAAAAGAAGTTGAGAACGAGATTGAGCCCAACCAGTGGATAGTAGATCATGTAGCAATGAAATACAACATCTTGCAGGTGGCTGTGATCATCAAACACAGGACTATCCTATATTAGAGAAAACCATACAGTTAAGATTATTATATTATGTTCCGACTAAATGCCTACATTATCCTGCACATGCATAGACTATGCTTTAACTATCATCGCTTATTTTCTCTTTTTGTTTCGTAAGGTAAAGCTAAAACGAAGCCTTATGCAGAATTTAATTGTTTACTAATTGTTGCCAAATCATGTTAAAAGTACATTTGTTTCGATGATGGTTGACCTTAGTGAAATCTTAGTTCAATTCAGTTTTGCATCATAAAATTTTAGAGTAAGTTGATATAATGGGATTCTAGGTAGTTAAACTCTTTTGCATTTAACACATTTAAAGTTGTCAAATTAAACAACGAAACTGAATATCAGTTTCCTCAGTACGATTTGCTAGATGAGTATAAAAATGATACATTCATCACAGTTACAAAGAAACGTTTATATAGCGCGCCGATAGATGTTTTCGAAAAGTTTTAAGGACATTGAAATTAAATTGATATCATGTGTGTTATAGAAATAGGGTCAACTTATGCTTATGCTGCTTTCTTCCTTATAGGAATTTAAATTTTTATGAACATCAATTTTAAATCCACGATTGAATGAATTATGAACAATTTGACTTCTATACAAATCGATTGATTTGCTCCCAGTAAAAAAAAGTAAAAATTATACTTACAATTATCTGAAACTGAAACGCTAAGAGTGGTTATAGGAGTGTCACATCATCTAATTATATTTGCCCTCATTTACTTGAAAACAAGCCTACGAGTCTAGCATGTATGTTTTGATAATCATATTTTTTGTTACATGTCGGTAACAATATCGTAAAGTGGGCATAGATGTTTGAGAATAACATATGATCATAGTTTATATGATATTTATATAGCCCCCAAGCTTTGCCTTATATATTTTACACAAATTTTGTACTTCTAGTTAATTCTGAAATCCTCAAAGATCTGTAATTAGTTTTGCTTCCAAAAAAATTTAATCCGACTTAGAATTTACAGTGATGCATATTTTCTTAATTATCTATTGCTTTTATGTTATTTCAGAAACTTGTTATTCGTATCCTTTAGTTTGTCATATGAGGTTTCATTGAGAAAATAGCAATGGAGTTTGAAAAATTTCCTTCACTGCGAAACGGACGCATATGGTTACAATAACTGTAGGACAATGTTCAACTGTATTTACTTCGACTCTTATATCTTCGACGCAGTATATGTTACCCAACCTTATAAATGGAATATCAATACCATCTCAATGTCAATACTTCCTACATAAATATAACATGTATGTGAGCTTCAGTATTGATTTGATACCAGACCTGCATTGACAACTTTCAATGGAGGCACATACTGTGTTACCGATGCAACACTTTCATGTTGTGCCTTTAATTTTTTATGAAACACCTACGTTAAAACGATAACCAAAGACGTTGCGTAGAAATAGAGATCTGTAAGTCAGGAGACCGCAAAGAAAGGCCACAAGCCAGAAGTTAAAGATTATTCCTGAGCTCTGGAATCCCTTGCGCTTTTCGGCTAGAGTGAACACCATGACCAGGAACTGAAAAGATATATAAAAACATCAACAAAGAAGCAGTAAGATATATAATGTAATCGTTTTAGTTGGTTCATTAAACTATTATAGAAATGTACTACATTAAATAAAACTGTCTTCGTCCCATTATGGCAAGTCCCGATGTTTGGCTGACTGATTTACTTTGTTCCATGTTTAACTGGTTTACTTTCTATTCCTTACGTCCCTTTATTCCCATTTATTACACTTTGCTATCTAGTGGACACTCTTCATGCCGCCAGATTCATTGTCATGTATTTCTCCAATTCCCTAATTGCTTTCCTTTTAGTCCATACCGGCTGGGTTTACCCCGCTACCTCAACTAGATCCTAGCAGCGTAAGACTGTTTTACGTTGTCTTCCCCTTTAGTGTTGCAGAGAACGTATACACCCACTTGGGCTTTCACTATTTTTACCACATAAATTTCGAATTATCTTTGGCCGTTCAATATTTCTCTTGCATCGTACATTAGCTCCATTTGCGTTGCCAGCCACATCCGGAGATGAGTGTAGGTTTTTGGTCCAGCTTGCCTCGGTCATCCCTTCAAGCCTCAATGCTCCCAAACCTCACGTCACGTAACAATTGTAGCTTTTTCGACCATGGTTGAATTATATCACCGTCCGAAAATGGCCAGCTCTTTCCCTCCTAGAATATACCATAAGACCGCTGGCGAGGACCTGGAGCGCTACGGTAGAGACCGTCCAATACGCCCAATTGATTTTGATCGCCAGCATGCTTAGGGTTTACCTTAGTGCCGATTGCAATGCCATAGCCTCAATATGACAATGGATATAGAGCCCCCGTTTCCGTAATTGAGCCTACGAGTCCATCGGTCTACTTTCCCTAAACCCAGCTGCCATTCCCCTGAATACTCTACCAACCCTCGGCAAAACCCGGGTCAAACTCGCGGCAAAATGCTAGGCTTCTGCCTAAACGTATTCCACATGTGCAAGCCCTTATAACCCGGTACTGAGGACCACCCCGAAATGCCTTGCTTTTTCCCGATTTCTATTAGGTGGCCCGTTACTACAAGGTTAACTTATCTTGTTCGCCTTCGGCTCGTTGGCTACAGGATCTTTTCCTTGCATGTATTAGCTATAGATGGTTGCGATTCAACCACTGTGCTATTTTCCCAAAGTTTCATTGTTTGTACCCAGTAAAACGTTTTCTATTCTGGGCATAATTATGAGCCCAAGCTCACCGGTGTAGGCGAGCATTTCAACTCTTCGTAGATTCTCCCAGATCTGATACCCTGTCATAAACCAGATTCCAAATCAAGGATCCAAGAATCGAGCCTTGTAGGACACTGGCAATAACCGTACACACCTAATCTTTGCAATCACTTGCCAGTCTAGGTACACCCTGGCCACTAAATATCTGTGATATATTTAATGGGCATGCTTACTATCTAATGTACACTTGAATAAGCATAGAGTCTATAATAGTGTACTACGCATAACTGCATGTCTCATCTTCCGCTTTTCATGATGGCTTCATTATTGCAATACTGGTGCCCTTTACTCTGTTTCTATAAGTGTATATTAGATTTTCGCGGAAGTTTTACTATGCTAGTATATTGCAGGCTTGAGTGAGATTACAAGATAGTCAGTGAGAAACTCTAAGTCATTCAACGCATATGATTTAGCAGTGCAAAGGATGTTTCAACATAGCACAAAAAGGCAGAGTATACCTTTCCAATATAATGCGGGCTTCAGCCAGTCTCGCTAATCTGTTGAAGTTAAGGCCAAAAGCTAATTTTAGAGGAACCTGTCGTCATCAGTTGTATTTGTACACTGAAGATATTTAAATACGAAAAATGAAAGGAAAAGGATTTTACTCAATAACGCCCTATCCGTGTATTTCATAAAAAAAAAAGTAAAGCATATCTTTTGAACATACGCCGATCTAGCACGAAAGAAGAATTTGTGAAGTAGTTTAAACATTGCGCATATAACCGTAGACATAAACAAACAAAATACTTAACGATAGACTTGCCATAGTTGCAGATTTGATGAAAGGTGTATAGAAGTAAACATCAGGTAAGATTTTGTTATTAATAAACCCCTGTACACCTGTAAATAGGAACTCGACTACACAAACGAGCAAGCATAACATTGTTGTCACCTGAAGTTATTACACAAAAGAAAAAGAGAAAAATAAGACAATTTCTGGCACAACGACATGGAATAATTAAACAGGGCTATGTTATTGGAACGAGTATAATTTAATTAGTGTACAATCAAATAAACTCAATGAAATAGTTTCAGTCACCAAAACCAATTGCGCGACAGTGAAGCGAGATACTTTTAAATGGATTTTTGGCTTAAAAAAGCTGGAGTATCTTACTTTATTTTACAACCACCCTACATGTCGATAAAAAAATCGGCAAACATTTTTAAACCGCTCAAAAATTATGTAATATAGTTGTAAGCATCAGTATTTTGTAGCACCTTCACTTTCAGCGTAAGTGTCACTAGTATTCGACGCATCCCTCTGGTGCGATTTTTTGCTGTCCCAGCTAGAAGTGGATGCTGTTACCACATATTAGTGGTTTTTTTACGGAGATCTGGAATACCTTTTATTTTCTGTCCTTCTCGAACTCTTGATTTTACGATTTTCCTATCGTTTTTTATGGGATTAAGGTCCGCCAAATTAGGAGGCTGAACATCATTGACAGCAAGTGGCCTTGAGGTATTCCGAACTCGTTAATAAAACGCCCCAACGTGCATGGAGACGTCGTTATTTCTTGCAGCTATTCCCGTATCCCGCCAAGCAGCTTCTTTCACTCGAAAAACCTCAGCATATTCCTGCTGCTCTAGAATTACCTGTGTGAAATCATCATCCCATCATAGACTATATCTTAACTTTTAATGGACGTTTGAGTTTTGGCACGACGCTGTTCTCAGAGTATTGTTCGCTGACATGCCAGAAGGCATGACGGACATTTTTTCGAGAATTTCAAACTAGCATTCCTCTGAAAAAAAAAAAACTGACTTCTTCCCAGCTTTCAGCGATTCAATTTTTTGACTCGGTTTGCTCAATGAAAACGGGCCCGTTTCGTTGAACCATCCAACCGAGGTTCTTGGTCTACTTTTCTAAACCCAGTTTCTTTGAGTCAACCGTAAAGCGCAATCTTTAACACGGTCTTTTAATCCGTTCTGGTGAACATAATGCGAAATGAACCTACCTTTTTGAAACTCGTAAACAAACACAACTACTTAGTTGTTCAGCGCCAGCAACAGTCGTATTATATGGTAAGATAGAACGCGCCGGCTGTACATAGTACGGGTTATTAGCAGGAATATTGGATCCCGAAATCACTAAAATTCGATTACAACAAGCTATAGCGCCTGTGATCGCTGGGATTCGATATGTCAGTTTTACACAGTACATCTGTTATCAGTAACCTGAAAATGTTGGCTAATGTTTTTATCGACATGTAGGACACCAGTGAATGTAAAATAATACTGCTTTCATAAATTAATACCCGTTTGATGCCCGTGCTTTAATGTTGTGCAATTGGCTTTAAGAGTTGGAACCATTTGATTAAATGTATTTAAGCATCATGGAATGAAACGCTAAATGCCATTTTTGAGAAATTAGGCACTAAAATTTTTATATACTTAGCTGTCATTCACTCCTATTAAAAAGTTAGAAAGTGCGAAGAAATCCGAAGACAAAAGTAAATGTGTGATTTTTACGCGAGCATACCGGTACGTATGACTTACAATTTTCGTGCAATTTAGCCACGTCCATGGGGTGTAGCTTCGCTGTGATGTAAGTAAATAGTAAGCTTCGAGGGGACTGAGGACCCAAATGAGAACACATGGGATCCAAGCAAGGACAGAGTTTTGAAAGCATACGGTTACATCTGGAGTAGAGCCATTTGTATACCACGTCAGAGAGTCGTTCTGAAAGAATGATGAACGACAAGCGTGGCAGAAAATTAGAACAAGAACTCAGCTTTGCTGATGTCTGTGCCACATATACAAGTGCGTGCAGATGTATATTATTGCGAATAAAAAAGGGTGCATATATTGTTTTTCACACGATTTTTATGAGTAGCTCTTAAATGATATATTATTATGATCACATGTTAACTTAATGAGCCGCCCAAATAATATTCGGATGTTGCATTAATTAAATAATCTCTACGTTTAAATTTTGAAAATATATCTAGGCGAAAATAAATGAAAATAATTTTTTACTCATCCCGCACAAAACTACTGGTTACGTGACCTACAACATCATCTTGGTTCGAGATCGCTGGGGAGACTTTATCATAATTTTAAACTTGCTGCATGTCTATTGCGAAGGACTCTACTCTTAGTTTGGCTTTTTTTACAAATTTAGAATTACATTTACCAATAACCCTAATCTATGTTACGGCTGTAGACACCGTATTAATTCTTCCATCTTTGATTCTAAAGCTGCCACTTGCTACCTTGTTCCCCTGTTAGTTTGCAACCTCGTTGCCCTGTTGTTCATCCGTAAACGCGCTATATTTTTCCAAATAACGGAATAAATATCTGAGCTCAATTTAAGAATTATCAATACAAACCAAAATACATTTGCTTAATTTGAACATGTAAAGTACACCCATAACTGCGCACGGGACGCTAGTATGAGACCTTATCGAGCCCTGACTCCGTGTTCTTTTACCGGTCTTTTCGATTTCCCATTGGTAGGTTATTGAAACCTCAGTATCTTATTGCATTTATTCTGCTTCCTCAGTTCGATTTATGCTATCTCTTCGACAAAAAAGTATTCATATAATCAAAGAATATGAAGCATATGCCCAAATGTTTGCTAATTTATCAACCACTTCGCAATTTAACCAAATTAGCATTCCGTCCTGCTACGGAAAGAAAAAATTGCCCATGTAAAAAGTCTTCCATCAGTTAGAAAATATGATTTATAAATAAAGAGTTCATGTTTTATAAATGTCAACTAATGCCAAGAAAAATTACCATTACGGCTAAATAGCATAAATGTTAATGACCAAGGTGCGCTCATTTTGTAAAGCTGGAAACAGATTTTTCAATAAGATTTTTTAAAGAAATTATCGACAGTTGATATTGGAAAGTTACAAATTGCTAAGAATAATTAACTTGTCTAAATTATCATTACGCTCTACAAAAGAGAGAAACTTCCTCTAGAAGAACTTATTTATCTAGTAACTTATTACGTGCCGAGATAATTTCCAGGTTAAACTCCTATTGTCCGAAGATGTGTTATAAAGTACATTAGGCAAGGCACTCTTCAGGAAAACAGCAGCTTGTTACTGCTGTAATCACATTACGAGTGGAAATAGGAGGTTGAAGACCAAAGGTAATAAACAAGCCTCAGGATCTCAAACCGAAGAACCGAGTTGCTGTAATCAACACTTTTGTGTGAAATGAAGCATTGATGGTGCGCTTCCAATCGCGCTTTGAAACTGTAACGAAAGTACTAAAGATGAAGACATTAAAAAAATTAGTTCCTCAGGGATCGAATCGCGAATAAAAATATATATGGCGTACCTTACAGACAGTGCACGATTTGTACTTGCAAGAAAATTCCTAAAGCACACTGTCGCCATAAACGAAAAGCTGTTGTAATCATAAACTTGTATGGCCAAAAAATAAATCTTTAGTTGGTGTGAACATTTACCTGATTTATTCTGCTAATAAGTGTAGTTGGGAAGTATTCCAATTTGTATATTCGTTCAACACCTCTGGACGATATAATATACCGTTACGATGAGTATCCATTAAATATTAAGTCGTAATCGATAATATATTGAGCATTTTTGTCGCCGAGGCTATATAAGAACGAAGCGTTGCGTTAATGAATCGCATTTGTTCCGATAGCCGTACGTCGCCACTTCGGCCACTTTACCCACTTGTGTGTGCCAACATACCACTGAGGAGGACTCGCCTCTTGGCGGAATCTTTAATTAGTATCAGTATTTCACTTACGCGATGACAGGAAACTGGCAGCCCTCTACATTCTCGCACCGTCCCTCAAACGTTGCGGCGCCTGTTCTGTATGCTCAAACCGAATCTATTTTTGCTGCTATGACCACACCCGCTCATGCTCAAGCGTACGCACGCCGACATCTTATGCGACCCATGGCTTCTCCAATTAGAGATTCTTGGAAATGGAAGCAGGCAGCGAAGTCCATGCATCGCGTCTTCTAGGTTTGAACGTCGCGAAACCTCCAACTGAGTCACTACCTTTTTGACTTATATGGTACACGCCGGGGTGTTTCGGTGCCACCTTCATGAGTTCTCGAATCTCTGCATATCCATGAGCCTTTTCAGCACATAATGACAGTGTATGGTCCCGGGATTCGCAACAGCGCTGTAGTTCATATGATTTGAAACAAAAGAACCCGTTGACGATTGCGTTGATGATTTTCGTTAAAAGGGGAGGTTTTGCTATTGCATTCCCGTGACACACGCTTCAGAACACCAGCTTTTCGTACTTTTAAACAGATTTTTGTCTCTTACCACAAGAACGCAATCGAATCTGGCTGCTTTTAACACTAGGATTTTACGAATAGAGAAGGCTTAGTACAGACCAATGTACAGGTTTTCATATCCCTTCGGACACCCGACAAGCATTGGACTAGTTTTGACAGAAGGAAATATCCAAAGGGGAGATATTATATGATGAGAGGTTAATTTGCTCCCCTTGAGTACGTTGCCATCGTAACCATAGACAAACGGCCATCGCCAGATTACACTTAAGCTTTGCCAAAATGATTTTTATGACATAGGACCCATCCCGGTTGGCCCCTCTAGCGTAGTACCCAAAAAATTACGAATATGTGAAGAAAAAACAGCCTTAACCTATTCACCGTAAATCCTTCAACATTCTGTCCGCAACACACAACCTGGCACCAAAAGAGCTTCGGCGTTTAATTTACCTATTACCTTTACAAATCTGCACCAGGAATTTAAAAGCAAATGCAACAAAGCAAAGAACTTTTGCTTAGAAAAACATGGTGGTCAAGATAAAAGCTACGCGATGCCATTACACCGACAATTAAGTTACAATCTACATATCACTCTGTTACAAAAAAACAAAAGACGTGTTCAGTGGGGACAAAGAGAACAAATTATATGCTATGCAATTGAAGTGAAGCGACAAGAGACACCGTTATTTCGGATAGTTACGGCAGTTTTTGGGTGAGATATGGCACTGATAAACTCAATACCATGTAATTTCTTAAAATGAAAAAATAAGAAAAAGGTGCTTAACATTAAATATCCTGAGCCGTGAATGTAATGATAAAATATCTGAATGGATTAGCATACAAAGCACCATGATTATCACCAAATATACAGTTTGAATTATTTTTTTCATTATATTTATCGTATTTAACATCTTTATGATGAATCAAAAACATAGCATTCGTTTCTATTCAAATTAATGATGCTGCGCAATGTGAAGGCGCATGCCATCAACACTGACAGGATCGAAAAGCACTAAAGCTTTACGAAAGCCTATATGGTGTGGCGGAGAGATGCATCTCACTTTTGATTTACCACTTCAACCCATTCTCGAAATTCTTTTTTAAGAGGATTAATTTGTCAGAACAATTTTCTTATTCGAGTTGTTATGGCTTTGCTTATTTCTTCCGGTTTGCCATAGCGCTTTTGTAGATATTTCGGATCAAAATCGAAATTTAGTGTACTAATATCGATTGAAAAATCTTGGGGTTACAACCTCTGAGTGTAATACATACTTTTTAGATATACGCTCGAACATGCAAACTGCAAAGATGTACAGCTTTTGAGCTCTTTGGCATTCAGATTCTACTTTTAAAAATGCAAATGACAGAGTGATATAAAAACATTTAATGCCGGCTGGTATTATAATATACTAATTTAACTATCAAAATTTATAAAAATATTATATTTAAAAAACCGCTAAAAAATATTGCTAGAGAAGCAAATAGACTAGTTACTTTTTCGCTCGTAACTCTTAATCATATTGCTATGTATGCGTGTAAGAAAGTGACTTACAATTATTTGAAGCTAACTTGTTTCATTACTAACTCTACCGCATCAATTATGAAATTCTACTTGTCTAATAATTATTTTCGTTAAATCCATTTTCTTATTGCGATTATACCGATGTGCTTGCAGAAATGCTTCAGCTACGCGAATATAAAGAACTGCCTTGAGGATACCGACCTTACCACTAGCACCCAAGGTTGTGCAAAGTTTGGGCTCTTCGACAACAGTAACAAAACTGCTGGAAGAGGCTAGCGATTATAACTGTGCAAAAAACCTGCTGTCACGAAGGTTGTCCATAAGTATACAATGCAAAAATGGAACGGGATTTAGGGACACTCTGCCACTTTAATCAATGGGTGCCTCTGAAGAAGAAGAATTAGGAAGTCCCCAGGAACTCGAATTGTTAACTCTACCGATATGTTTGTACTTACACTATGTTTCTAACATAAATATTACTTAACTTGAAAAATTCAAGGGGCCGTGTTGCATTAAATGCCTAATTTTAGGCAGATACTGCCACAGGAAACAAATGGAATTGCACATTAAAACAAAACCCTAGACTAGCCATTTAAATATTGGCTTCTTTATTTAACAAATATTAATGGTACTATTTAAGATAGCTGTTCATATTTTACACAAGAATGTCAGAGTTAAGCGTCTGGTTAAAAATCGCACGTTAACTTACGACTTACCCAAAACTGTGACCCACAGAAATCATCCATTTTGAATTTTTAGTACGAGCTTTTCCGCAGTCCAATGTTGCACGATTTTTGCTGTCCCAGGCTAATTGCTGCTGCTGAATGAGCGTCCGTTTATTCACTCGCGAACTGCAAAAATTACAATTATATTTACTTATGTGGCCAGCTAAATGACAAGTAGGCAAAATCTAGTTTTATTTACAACAATGATTTAGTGCTCATTAAGATGCCGTAGGACATGTTACCAAAAACTGCCTAAGGCGGCTTCTCAACCCACAACAAAGAACTCACCGTCCATCGGTATATTTTAAAACGTGACGAAACATCGTCAGGTTTATTATCTTTCTTACTCGGTGAGTATGAAATTTCAAAAACATCGATGATTTAAGATTGCGTCTCATTAAGTTACAGCAAAGATAAAACAAAGGATGTAAAAATTGCACACATAACAAAATTGTTTTGTCGTTATACATCGGCAAATGCAAAAAAGTATGTATAATAGAGCACGATGTCCGTACCACATTTATGATACTAGATCCGCATATAAGTTCTTGCCGACTGTTTTTAACAAAGCAAAACGTTTTGCTCAACATATCTGATGGTGTGTTCTTTATTTACAAGTTTACAAGTTCCCGTCCCAAAACATTAATGAATTTAACCTATCTTTTTTCCGGGCAGCGGTACACATACTCTTGAAATATTCGTTCTCGAAATATGGATGTTCATACCGTTTAAACTAGAGAATCCTTTACATCTATGTTTGAAGATTCTGTGCTATTTTAAAAGAACACTTTGTTGCAATCTTTATGAACACAGCGAAATAGTGAATGCGCACACAACTCTACTAAGTTGGTCGTATTGAATCAAGAAATTGGGCATGTAAAGACCTTAGATTAAAAATACTGTAATTTTACTATATGACAACATTAAACTACGCGTAATTCTTTCAACCCACCACAATCAAATAGTATTTGATTGGGAAAATCTTTCACACCCAGTGTATAGCCTCGCTTCATTGGACTGTACCCATACAAATCCATGCAGCAATCCCTTATGAGCAAGCGATTTAAAATAAATGGTAGAAGTTCCAAAATGGATCGATGAACAGATCGCCTTGATAGATTTCTTCATTATTCTAAGTACCTAACACTTCAGCGTTGCAGGAAATGTGCGTGAAGAGTTAAGTAAATTACTTTGCTGGGTGAGGTCTTACCCAGATATTAGTACCACTTGAAATAAGCTGAAAGGAACGGTTACATATACGTACATACACATAGTATATGTGAAGCAATTCCGCAAAAAGAGGTCTTTGGCGATATTGACAAGCAAATCACTACATATATATATATA